AAGTTTTGAAATCTATTGTCTCATGTACATTACCACAACTCATTGGACCTTGTCTATTTTATATATTTGCTTCCGTAGCCCCTTATTATTTGTTAATCTGTCAAGAGGCCTTTAGTAATCCAAGGATTACTGGCCGGTTACGATGCTAGACCTACAGGGGCGAGTTTGGGTCGTGACACTAGTATATTACTACTAGTTGTCAAAAAAATAAACAATATATTACTACTATTTGTATTTTCCAACCAGAATATCACTTTGTGAAAATACAAAAAAATAAATACAACGAAGACACCAAAAAAATGATATGTCTTAAGATTGTTGGACAATCTTCACTGTGTTTAATAAAATAAATTTTGTTTGTGTAATAAAAAACAAACGGAATACAGAAGAAATAAATGAAATGAGAGAGATTGTTTGATTACAAAAATCAAACCAGTAAATAAAAATAAATAAATAAAAATAGATTTTTATTTTGTTACAAAAACAAAATCAAAATCTGATATAAATAAATAATAAAACATAAAATGAATTAACAACTTACTTTATTAATTTCTCGAACAAAGTTTTGATCAAGTCCAGTGTTTAACACTATGTCCTTAAGACAGATTCGTCCTCTCTACGATTCTTTCAAAATGTGGACGTCTATCTCCCAGAATAAAATGATCAACAACAAACAGTAGCAGCACTACAAACTGTTTGTACAAGAAACATACTTTGTGTTTACACTATTTCTCACAGAAAATTGTATGCAACAAAATGCAGAGAGTAATGATAAAATTAGGGACGAAAAATGGAGTAAAAATCCAAATAAGGGACTACCTTTATATAGAAAAATTCGTGGCTGTTTGGTTTGAATTTTAAACAGATATTGAATTTGTCCGGTTTAATTCAAACAGATTGGAACCTATTTGGTTTAAATTTAAACAGATATGCATCTGTTTGGGTGGGAAAAAATTGGACAGATTTTATTTCAAATGTTTTTTGCCCAAAAAGATAAGTATTGGGCCAAACAAGCCCAACCTCACACCACGCACCCAAACCCAGGCCCAAGCCGCCTGACGGGTGTGTGTTTATTTTTGGGTCCAATGGGTCTAGTCCAATTTGCCCATAACCCCTCCCTTCTACAAACTTGGAGTGTCCCTTGGGGCCCTCCCCAAGTTCAAACCCATGCCTTAAAACCCACTCAAAGTTTGCCCACCAAACCAATGTGGGAGAAGCCTTAAACCAAAACTAAAAAAATTTCCACCTAAAACTCCATTTCCATGGAGCTCACTTCAGTTTCAATTTCCCATTCACCCGATAATGGTTTTGAGCAACCACATATACTACATGAATCACAACGCGGCATAGAACACGATACCACTTAGACCCACCAACTTTGGTGCATAAGCCCCACCTAAAAAATAGACCAAAGTTGAGGAAAAATCTGTTTTTTTCCAAAACTTCCAAAACCCATTTCCAGCACTTCCAAGAGTGTACTTTAAGGTTATCTGGATCTTTGTCACCTGACACTTCATACATGGGAATGCATCAGAAATTTCTTTCAAATCCTCTTCAGTAAGCTTCGATGCAGTTGACCCAATGGTATTATGATGGTTCTTAACTTTGGTTGTCACTGCATAATAAATTTCCGTAGAAAAATTAGAACCATCCAGTTAATCAAACTATGAACTCATTTCTGTAACTACTTTAGGTAGTTTTTTATTTTTTATTTTTTAACTATTGAGACTGCTAAATACTTCAGCTCTAAAGACATTGTTAAAACTTGTAACCAGAGAGCATAATTTACCTGGGATTGGGAGAACATTGCCTTTTTTATGAAGCCGCCATGCCAAAGCCAGTTGAGGAGGGGTGCCATTATGCTTTGCAGCAATGTTGGTTAGACGGGCATATAGTTGTTTGTTCTTCTCTAGATTCTCTCTGGTAAAACTTGGAAAGTGAGTCTGTGACAGATAGATCAACGTGAGCTTAGGATCCATTTCTTCACAATGAATGTGCTCTTTTAATGATAAAAAAAATCATTCATGTCTCAACATCTACAAATATGCAAGAAACAGAAAAACTTGCAATTACTTATTTCTGATCTGTAGTCACATACAAACACACAAACGTTGGGCACACTCTCCACAGCCGCCTTCCCACCAAAGAAGCCACGCCTAATAGGGCTATATGCCACAATCCCGATACCTAGCTCTCTGTGAATGAGGAGGGTGCAAAGTTTATAAACTCGGTGAGACTAAAACAGAGGTTGTTAATTGAGTTTCTGATCTTCTAAACAAGGCCAAAATAGAAAAAATTAACAGGCTTACTCCTTACACATGAGAACTAGGTATGAACTAACCGGCAGAGTGGAATTATATCCTCTTCAATGTCACGAGTCCATAGAGAATACTCCACTTGGACTGCAGTGATGGGATGAACTGCATGGACTCTCCTTACTGTTTCTGCACTAGCTTCGGATAATCCAATGTACTTTATCTTCCCCTCCTCTACCAGTTTCTTGAGCTCTCCCATCTGTGCCAAAACAATTCAAAATCATTCAGCGATCAATCATGTAATTGCAGTTCCACATACAGAAAATAAGAACACAATTGGTTCCAATACTAATTGAAATGAAAGACTGCCTGTGACACTTACAGTGTCCTCTATAGGCACTGAAACATCCACACAGTGCTGATAGCACAGATCAATATAGTCCAGGTCAAGCTGTTTAGCACTGCCGTACATATTCAGGAGTACCCTTGACATCAAATTGACCATCCTCTAATACAGCAACCCCAAATTTTGTAGCTAACTGAGCCTCTGCTTGAGGAAACTGCTTCAGACCCTTAAAATAAATTCTAAAACAAATCTCTAACAATCACCAATGTGAATCTAACCAAGGATGCTCAACAAATCTTTGCTCTAGTAAGCAGATTCAGAGCCCAAAATACAACATCAACTGTTTAAAAATGCAACAATGTGAATGTACTGCAGGGAGACTTGAGGAAAAGATGCATTTTACTGAAACTATCCATTTAAAACTATCCGACTTCATAACTAAACTGTAATGAACATATTGCAGACCTACAATAATTCTTACCACAAAAATGAAGCAGAAGCTTAACCGTTGTATTAATTCCAATCTTCACTTCAGTGCTTTTTTATTTTTCATTTTTATTGGATTTTTACATTGTTTCTCTCCTCTGCTGCAGTACTATGAATCTTTATACATAAATCAACAGAAAGAGAACAGGGGTAGAAAGAAACAACTTTCTCCAGTAACCTATTTTCATCATCTATTTACTCATTTCAGGGTCAATTTTAGAGCTTTTAAGTACTACCTTGCCAACCATGATTTCATTATCATAATTTTGTCCATAGAGGTCAGAGGTATCAAAGAAGGTGACACCTTTACTAAAAGCTTCCTTTATAATTGAACATCCAGCCTCGTGCTAGGGAGGATCATTGTATATTCCAGAAAGTCCTGCGCATCCAAAGCCTAATCTGGAAACCTACAAAAAACAAAAGAACACCATCACTTGGAAACACTGTTTTTTTTTTAGTTTATTTATCCCAAGTCAAATTGATTTGCACCTTCAAAATGGTAATACCTTACAGATCATGCCAAGGACAAGGACAACAATTGACATCAAATTAGGATTCAATGTGATGAAGGCATGAAGCTAGCGAGCGAACCAAGTTAAAATTGTTGAGATGCTTTGAATTATGAAAGAACAGAACTCAACAATCCTAAGTTTGTATTTGTATCTTGAATTTGAGGAGGGTTTACTTCCCTTTTCCATTCCCTCCACAAAACACTCCACAAATCCATCCATGATTCAAACACAGCTTAAAAAAAGCAACAGAAATTGTAACATGTGGAAGAACTGATAACAGTTATGTGAGCTTTACTTTCTTCAAATGGGGTCAGAGAGAGAGAGAAGAAGAAGAAGAAGAAGAAGGCGGTTTACCTCAAGTCCTTGTGAACCCAGTTTAAGTCTTGGGATCTTGATATGATTGTTTTCCATTTACTCTTCAACAAAAGAGAGCTTGGATGTTTGAAGATGCAAAACAAAGAAGGAATACTATAATGTGTAACTCTTTTTAGACCAGTGAAGTGACTGTTTAATTGAATTCAGTTACCATGTCATTGTTTTATAGTAGGTGTCAGAAGGTGAGAGCATTTCAGTTTCATTTTTCAGGAAGGGACAACTTCCTACCTTTTGATTCCATTCTCCATGTGCTTTGTGTGATTATATTCAAACTTTACTAATGAATTTAAAATTTTAAAAACTACCATAAAAAATTACATATAAGGGTAGTAGACTTTTAATTACAACTATAATTTAAATATATAATTAAGTTCACACGATTATATTGTATAATTAAAATTAAATTATATATGTTGACCATCCTAAAATATAACATATATACCATTAAAATAAGTTTGTCAAAATATGTAATATTTACACAACTAGAAAAGATATCACAATAGATAAGATAAAGCTGTACATGCATCTTTTTAGCAATTTTTTTTTTACTTATTATTATTATCTTGTCTTTTAATGTGTTTTTTATTTGAAGTTTACAATTTTGTAATTTTAAATTTACGTATTCATTTTTAACCAATTTTATATTTTAGAATTCTCTTTTTGATTTTTCAAAAAAAAAAAGTTTGATATTAAATAAATTTTTTGAAGAATACAGTTTTCAATTGCTTGAAGATTTGTATCATGTTATTGCCTTTTTACATCTCATTTTTAATTCCATTAGTCAATTATATTGCACAAATATTAGATTTTATTTTTAGGATACTAGTGAGCATTTTTTAACTTGAAAATGATGATTTTAGACATAGTTAAAGATTTAATGGTGTGTATTAGTCTATAACTTTAAATCCCTCTTTTTAATAAAGCGAACAGAAGAGAGAGTTGAGGTAGCTAATTTGAATATTTTTACCCAAATGAAAATAAAAAATTCTTGTTTTGTCACACTGAGAGTAGTTAAAAAATATAAAATAAAATAAAACTCACACAAAGATGTATATATTGAATTTAGACAGTGTGGCGTCTATCACCCTGTAATTTTTATTTGTCAGCATTACAAGTTCACAACTAAAAAGTATGACTTTCAGAAACAAAACCATGAGGAAGTGGATAAAATATGAGTTCCATATAGCTTCATTATGTAGTTTTAACTTATGATTTTGCTGGTGTGTTTGCAAACTTCCGAGAGTGTTTTTTAAGGTATTCCAAATCTCTGTCACCAGCCACTTCATCCACCGGAACTGCATCAGAAATTTCTTTCATATCCTCTACAGTAAACTTCAGTGCTAATGATCCAATTGCACTATGAAGGTTATTAACCTTGGTTGTCCCTGTTTAATAAATAGCCCAAGAAAAATTAAAGCTATCCAGTTAATCAAAATCTCAGATTATGCTCAAAACCATGTACATGGGTTTCCGCTGTAAGCTTTGGGGGAGTGGGGGATGGTAGAAGTATATGGGATTTGGGGATAGAGAATGAGTTAATGATGCTTGACCTGGTTGATATGCGTAGACTTAAGAAGGATGAGTTTTTTTAAGTATGAGGTATGACCATTAGTTTAGTTTTTATGAATTGAAACTCAGCAATGCAAAACAATGGGCTAGACTAGATTTAAGAGCATAATTTACCTGGGATTGGAACAACATTGTCTTCTTGATGAAGCAGCCATGCCAAAGCCAGCTGAGGAGGGGTGCAATTATGCTTTGCAGCAATGTTGGCTAGACGGGCATAGAGTTGTTTGTTCTTCTCTAGATTCTCTCCGGTATACCTTGGAAAGTGAGCCTGCAACAGATCAACTTGAGTTCAGAATTTAATGAATATGCTCATCAGTGTCTGGTATGGAAGCAACATCTCACAAAGGGTCACATTGCCTGGTTTAAGAATGAACCCTGTGAAGTGCCTGGTGTGCAAGTCATCATGCCATCCAGTGAAAAAAGTCATATTCATGTCTTTACGTCTAGTAATATGCAAGAAACAGAGATTTGCAATTACTTATTTCTGATCTGTAGTCACATACCAATAGACTACCGTTGGGCACACTCTCAACAACTCCCTTCCCACCAAAGAAGCCACGACCAAGAGGGCTATATGCCACGATCCCAATACCTAGCTCTCTGTTGACGAGGAGGGTGCAAAGTTTATAAACTCGGTGAGATTAAAATAGAGGGTGGTAATTGAGTTTCTGATCTTCTAAACAAGCCCAAGAGCTTCTAGTTTTGACTTTTGACCCAAAACAAAAAAATAAAAAAAAAATTAGCACGCTTAACTAACCGGCAAAGTGGAATTATATCCTCTTCAATGTCACGAGTCCATAGAGAATACTCCACTTGGACTGCAGTGATGGGATGAACTGCATGGGCTCTCCTTACTGTTTCTGCACTAGCTTCGGATAATCCAATGTACTTTATCTTTCCCTCCTCTACCAGTTTCTTGAGCTCTCCCATCTGTGCCAAAAAAATTCAAACATTTAAATGATCAATCATGTATATTCAGTTGTGTGTACAGAAATTAAGAACACAATTGGTTCCAATACTAACTGAAATGAAAATGAATGACTGACACTTACAGTGTCCTCTATAGGCACTGAAACATCCACACGGTGCTGATAGTACAGATCAATATAGTCCAGGTCAAGTCGTTTAAGACTAGCTTTGCAGCACTGCCGTACATATTCAGGAGTACCCTTGACATCAAATTGACCACCCTCTAATTTGATAATCCCAAATTTTGTAGCTAACTGAACCTTTTCTCGTGGAAATTGTTTCAGGGCCTAAAATTCCCAAAATAATAATAATAAAATAAACTGTTTGACAATCAACAATGTGAATCTAACCAGGATGCTCAAGGAAAAGATACATTTTACTGAAACTATCAGAGTTCAGAACTAAACCGTAATGAACATGTTGCAGACCTATGATACTTCTTGCCACATAAATGAAGCATAAGCTCAACCATATTCTAATTCCAATTTCTTTTTTGTGCTGTTTAATTTTTCTTTCTTTTTATTGGATTTTACATTGTTATTCTGCTGCAATACAATGAATCTTCTATTTAAATCAACAGAGAAGAGAATAAGATGTCAATGTTCGAAATTATAAGCTGTTGCAATACGCATTTTGGGGTCAATTTTAAAGATTTTAAGCAGCACCTTGCCAACCATGATCTCGTTGTCATAATTTTGTCCATAGAGGTCAGAGGTATCGAAGAAGGTGACACCCTTACTAAAAGCTTCCTTTATAATTGAACACCCAGCCTCGTGCGAGAGAGGATCATTGTATATTCCAGAAAGTCCTGCACATCCAAAGCCTAATCTGGAAACCTGCACGACAAAAGAACACCGTCACTTGGAAATGGTAGGTTTTTTCTTTTTCTTTTTCTTTTTTTTTTAAGATGAAAATGTAATTTTAAACTGCTTGATTGAACTACACTGCTAATCTTCTGATTTTTGTTTCAACTTTTCCCTAACAAAATCACTTTCACCTTGATTTCATCATAAAATCTACTTACCACCGAAAAGAGAATGATATATAGACATGCTCACAAAGAGCTACACTAAAAGGCAGACAAAACATTACTACTAATAGAATGAAAGTTAACAGAGCCAAACCAATCTGATATTCAATAAAAGCCACTTGTCAAGGGAAATAAACCTATTTGAATTGGGTCTCAATGAAACAATACATCAATGATAAGTTAACTCGACAATTTTCGATTTCTGTTCGATCTGACAATACACCAATTTGCCCTTTAATTCATTTCAAAAATAGGGGCATCAATTGAATCAGATTTCACAAGGGAGATTGTTTCACCATATGGATGATTTGTCAGTTCATTGCATGTGGTATCAGAACTGGCATGCTAAGAACAACAATTCACATTAAATTCAAATTCATAGTGTGATGAAGGCATGAAGCTAGCAAACCCAGTTAAATTGTCAAGATGATTTCATTTATGAAAAAATGAAAATCAATAAGCTAAGGTTGTGTTTGGATGTTGAACTTGAGGAGGGTTTCATTCACTTTTCCCCTCCCTTTACCTTTCCTTCTACAAAAACCTCCACAAATTCATGATCCAAACACAACCCAAAACAATTTGAAGTACTGGTAACAAGAAGGTTTTACCTCAAGCCCTTGTGAACCCAGTTTCAGTCTTGGGATCTGGATATCATTGTTGTCTTCCATTTCTCTTCAACAAAAGAGAGCTTGGAGGTTTGAAGATGCAAAACAAGGAGGAATAGCACTTCAATTCCATTTGGAGACAAGGACAAGCTTCCTACCCCATCAATAAAGTTGATTCCATGAAGCTTTCAAAGATATCAATTATTGGATTATAATTTTTGTTAAATTAAGAAGCATAATTTTAAAATATTGTAAATAAATTTAATTAAATGCATACAAGATTGTTGAAAAATGACACATACATTTCGGAATGAACCTGTCAAAATGACCACCTAAATTGACAAGCTTTTTGGCTTCACTTGATTTTTAATTTGAGTTGTTTTTTTTCATTGAAAAAAGCGTAAGAGATGAATTATTCTATTTTGTTCTGGCTTAAAGAAAGAAACAAAATAAATAAATAAATAAATAAAAACAAAAACAAAAACAAAAACAAACTTCTATGAAGCTAAAGTTATTGGAAGTGATGAGTTGGAAAACGAATTATTCAGAGAGAGTTGGTGAGAGCTGTTGATGAGGGGTTAATCTATTATACAATAATATACAACTGAGTGAGTAATTGAAAGAGTCTAATTAGGAAGCTGAAAGACTTTGATAAAAATTCTTAATAAGGGTTAATCTATTATATAATAGAAGAAAGTAAATAAATTATTAAAATTTTAAAAGAAAAATAGCACATTATTGTTAGTTTTAAAAAAATAACTAAAGATTCATGAAAAAATTAATATATTTTAATGATTAAAATTACAAAATTTGCTATGAATCTATAGTTATTTTAGAATAGTACCACTGATTTATAAAGTCTCCAATTTTCAATAGCACCAGCTTTGTTCATCTTTTAAGTTTGTATGTATAAATTATTTGTAAAAAAAAATTAATAATTATAATTATATAATTTCATTATATTTATTTTGTAAGTATACTAACTAGGGTGGGCAACGGTTTATCCGAACCGCTCAAACCGCCCAATCCGCCCAACCCGCATATAAGTGGGCGGTTTCGCAAACATAATGCGGGCGGATGCGGTTTGAAATATGACAAATTTGCGGGTTGCGGGCGGGTCGCGGTTTAAACCCACAACCCGCAAAAACCGCCCACAATATTTTTCATATGCCTACATTTAATATAATGACTAAAATATCATTTTTGTTCGTCAGTTTTAGTTAATGGAAATAGACAAATAATTTATATTGAAAACAAATCAAAAAATTATGGTATAAATTGATGAATTACAAAATTTAGGGTTTATTTTGTTACATGCCTTAAACTATGAGATTTTTTTTTTTTTTTTTTTTTTTATTCATTTGAAATGGCGTTTCTACTACCAACCAAAGCCAACCCACACAATGACACACACACCAATGGCCACACCCACAACACTCAAGCATTGAAATAATATAATTTTTATATATAATAATAATTTATAATAATTAATTATATAATTTTTATAATTTTCGTAAATATAAATCATTTTTAGGTTATGAATGGTTTGATTTATAATACGTACGTATGTAAGGATAAAAATTTTTATAATCAAAAATAATTTTTATAATCAAAAACAATTTATAATACGTATGTATTATTTGAATCTTTACATTTTTTATTTAAAATTTTTCACAGTAAACCCATCTTCACATTTTATAATACGTATGTATTATTCAAAAATAATTTATAAAAATTTATAATTAATACGTATGTAAATAATTTAATACGTATCTTCACATTTACATTTACAGTAAACCCATCTTCACATTTACATACGTATGGTTTAA